ATCCTCTCAAATGTTCCCAGAAATACCATATTCCAGAATACTTTACTTTGAAGAACTTCCTGCGAATCCGAATTCGTTACCATTACTTTCCAGATACCGATACATAGGATCCTATGATCAGCATAAAAATACCACTAGTCTTGACCTTTTCCAATGAAAACACAATCTCTACCCACATACACAACCTTAAGACACCTGATTGTTACATGTAGAATCTTGAACACAATAAAACCATTCTCGAGAGTCATTTACTTCATATTCGAACTGCAATTTACCTGATCAAACGGACATAACCATCCGTGCCTCATTAGCACTCTGACACCGCAGGATATGATCTCATTCCAATACAAACAAACATCTTCCTTCTCCATACACTGAGCATTCTTTATCAACGACAGCTCAAGACATCCTATTATTTTCACACATCTACGAAGCACCATATAACCTTTGTCAAAATTTTGCTTTACTTGTGCCATCTTCGGCTCAATTTCTGCAACCAGAACTGATCTGCCAGCATATCTCGAAACGGAACCAACATAGCACATAGCCGTGCAATCAGCTAATCAATAGCAACCTCCCCAACTTGGCTCGAAGCCATATATCAGGACACACTCAATAACCCATAATACTTTTACTCTAATGATGTCACAATATCATAGTGAGATTAAACTCAAATCATCTACCAGTTCGTGAAAACACAGATCATCTAGTACTGTAATCCTCTGCAAACCTCGCATTCATTCCCACCTCAGTTGAGTCTACTCTCTTAAGCGACCCGAATTCTCAAATTTCAACACGTACCCTTCAATTACACATGAGTCTTCTAACAAACGCACAAGGATCATACCACTTAAGAACACTCCGCAGGAGATAACCCACCTGTTTCGCCTCAATTTAGCACTTCAGCATACCTTCCACCAACATATACGTTACACAGTCAATTTAGTCTTCCTGAGTCTGAACTCATACCGCCACATGTATTGCACTTTACTTTCCAACTAGGAGACACGAAAATATCCTTCACGCGCCCATATTCGGGCTACACATCAAATCACAATAGGAAACGAATCACTTAACAGTTCATCTATTATCCAGCAGACTTCTTCGTCACTACCAAGTCATATAATTACATCTCGCAGTACTAACATACTCATCACATGAATACCAAACGGCCATTCCGGCTAATAGGGACAATACCGAACATATAAGTTCAAAACACTTGCTCACACGATCAGCACTTCAGTGCTCAAGCCATAGGCAAGATCCGGCCTCAAGTCCTCAAGACTGGCCCAACATCAAACTCACGGAGATTACATCTCGCCCCTTGATCGGGGAATCACAAGCCATCAACGCACATCTGATACTAAGCGCTAAGGTGCGCATACAAACGCGTGGAAGGAATTTCAAGAGTTTCTTTTCAAGCTGGACGCACGATAAGAATTCAAGAATGTGAAGTTTTCCTAAAGGTTCTGCAGCCTCTCGAGGATAAATACAGACGTCTCCGTACCGATCCGCGGGACTCTACTAAACCGGCTCATGACTCGCGAGACCTAGTAACCTAGGCTCTGATACCAACTTGTCACGGCCCCAATCCCGGTCGTGATGGCGCCCAACACAATGCTAGGCAAGCCCGACCATTCCGACATTCTCAATCCCTTTTATAAAGTTTATACCCAATTAACATGATGTAATGTCGATTAACATAAGTGTAACTCTGCAATAATAGATAATAACAGTGCGGAAACTAAGGAAAAAAAATATCAATACAAATCCCACCGATCTGGTGTCACGAGTCAAGAGCCTCTACACAAGTCTGAGGAACAGCCTATACAAAAGATAGTCTAAAGTGCTGAAAGTAAAGAGGATAGGGGGAGAAATCGAGTCTGCGAACGCCGTGCAGCTACCTCGATGACTCCGGTGAAATCTGAATAGCAGCTGAAAGTTCAACTATGCCTCCAAGATACCTGTATCTGCACACATGGTGCAGAGAGTAAAGTGAGTACTCCGACTCAGTGAGTAATAGCAATAAATAACGACTGACGGGAAGAAAACTCGTAAAAACACTACGCAGTTCTATATAAAAAAGTTAGTACATCAAATAGCAGGTAAATGAAGAAGTCAGGTAAACATCTCTTAAGCCGGTTCTCAACTCTTTTACTTCTGACAATAACCGATAGTATGATTATACGCTGCGGCGTGCAGCCCGATTCGTACTGAATACTGCTGCGGCGTGCAGCCCGATCCGTACTGAATACTGCTGCGGCGGGCAGCCCGATCCATATATATATATACATATACTGCTGCGGCGTGCAGCCCGATCCAATAATAATAGTCGACTGCGCTCACTGGGGGTGTGCAGACTCCGGAGGGGCTCCTACAACCCAAGCGCTATATCACTGCGGCGTGCAGTCCGATCCATATAATATACTACTGCGGCGTGTAGTCCGATCCATATAATATACTACTGCTGCGTGCAGCCCGATCCATATATGTATATATACTGCTGCGGCGTGCAGCCCGATCCGATATATATATCAAATACCCTCACTATTGGGTCCTCGACCCCTCTCAGTCACCATAGACATGGCCTCTCGGGCACACTCAGCTAAAACAGGGTTCCCAACCCACAAGTCATTCTCATTAGGAGTTACCAATTTCTAAAGCGGGTTCATATTATGTTTATCAGTTAAGAACATGACTGAGGGTATGATTTTTAACGAGTAAAGTGAGGTCAACCAGTACAACTACCCCTAAGGGTTCTACAGATCGGCACAAGGCCCCAAACATGGCAACTAGCCCAGAATACAATGATATTAAGTAAATCTCAATCAAAAAATATGGTAAAATCATCAATCGGGATGGACCAGGTCCGAATCCCCAGCAATATCAGACCCCACATTCATCATGCAGCGGGTGTCTCATCTTAACATAGCACCACGTTGTGCGAATCCGGGGTTTCAAACCCTCAGAACATTATTTATAACCATTACTCACCTCAAGCAGGCCGAAATCCTAGCTCGCTATGCCCTTGCCTCGCAAATTAACCTCCTCGAGCGTCGAATCTGCCCAAAACCATAAGGAATACATTACAATAGGCTAAGGGGATACAACCCAATCGAAAAGACTCGAAAAATATCGATTATTACGAAGTTGGCAAAACCCGAGCCCCGGGCCCACTTCTCGAAAATTATAAAATTCACATCAATGGATTCCTCATCTCGCCACGAGTCTATACATATCAAAATTATCCAATTCCGATACCATTTGGTCCTTCAAATCATCATTTTATATTTTGGAAGATTTCACCAATTTTCTCCCCAAATTCCATCCCAAATCATGAAATAAATGATGAATTCAATGATAGATTCATGTACTTTAGCCAAATGTGAGTTAGAATCACTTACCCGATGAGTTTCTTGAAAAACCTTCGAAAAATCGCAAAAATCCGAGCTCTCTAGGTCAAAATATCAAAAAAGAACCCAAAACCTCGTATCTATAGAGTAGCCCCAGATTTTCACCTCCGCGGCCGCGCAAAAATGACCGCGGTCCGCGCAAAACAAGTGCGGTCCGTGCTAAGACGAACGCGGCCGCACCAACTTTGATTGCAGTGACAGGCTTCAGTATTTTGGCCATAACTTTCGCTACAAATGTCCAAATTGCGATATCTTTACCTTTTTGGAAACTAGACACGAAGGGCTACAACTTTCGTTTTTGAACCAACTCAAGATTCCTTGTAGATCAAAAGATATGAGCTTCCGAAGTACGACCAGCGACCTGCAGATCTTCATGACCGCGGCCGCGGTCACTTTTACGCGCCCAGCACAAGGCCAACGCGCCCCGCGCTAATAGGATCGCGCCCCGCGCGAAAATGACTGCCCCATCCATTTTCTAAGTTCCTGGATGTCCGTACTCTCTCAAAACTAACCCGATGCCCCCGGGACCTCAATCAAAAGCACCAACGCATCCTAAAACATTATTCAACCTCGTTCCAATCATCAAAGCACCTCAAAAACATCAAATTATCCAAAACTCATCGAATTCAAGCCTAATTTTCTAAAAACTTTCGAAATACACTTTCGATCAAAAACCCGACCAAACCACGTCCGAGTGACCTCAAATTTTGCACACATATCCCAAATCAGCTAACGAAGCTACAACAACTCTCGGAATTCCATTCCGACTCTAGGATCAAAATCTCACCTATCAACCGGAATTCGCCAAAATACTAACTTCGCCAATTCAAGCCTAATTCTACACCGGACCTCCAAAATAAATTCCAATCACACTCCTAAGTCATAAATCACCCTCCGAAGCTAATCGAATCATCGGAATTCAAATCTGAGCCCTCTAACACAATAGTCAACATCCGGTTGACTTTTCCAACTTAAGCCTTCCTTAAAGAGACTAAGTATCTCATTTCTTATCAAAATCAATCCAAATCAACTCTAACACACCACATACCGATAACGAAACATGAAGAAGCATAAAATGGGGGAAACGGAGCGGTAACTCATGAGACGACGGGTCGGGTCGTCACACTTTCTCAGATCGGTAGCATTAGTGTTAGTTTGGTGTCCTTTTTACTCGTAGATTGATATCTTTAACTACTGTTTTATTGATATCTTTCACTTTGGTCTCTTAATATTTTGTTATTCTTGTTACTACTAGTATACCTATCCGTGCGATGCGCGGAAAATTTTAAATAGAAGTAATTTCACAAAATTCCTATCTTACCAATATTGTTATTTTCACTGCACTATTGTTGGAGCTTCTAAGAAACTGTTTCTTGCCGCCCTAATTATACTATAGTGCATTATAAACTACTTTACTTTGCATGTTGCAAGCAATGAACTTTACATTTATATATTAAATTAACCTAAAGCTCCATGCATTCTTCATATTGTGAAGGAAATCTTGCAAGAATAGTCATGCTAGCTGGCCTATGCAGTTTTGAGTACAAAGGAAGGACCATAATTTAGAAAATTTATGGAAAACAGTATTCTCATAGCAATTTAATAGATCTATTCTTCTCCCTAAGATACAGTTTTACATATTAAAACACTCAGCAACAACAATTTTTTTCAGAAACTTTAGTACATCTCCAATATTTACAAAGCAGCTATAGAGATATTATTCATCCATCCAAAACTCCAGATCTCCAGTTAAAAGTGTATGGATATCATCGGCACCGGTTGGCTGAGCCGACGCCGTGTAACGTCCAACATCAACCTTGCTCTTCACTTCTAATGTTGTACTATTTGGCATAGTGATAACCATTTGTTGAGGATTTGTTCCCTCAAGATTGTGTTGCTCAACCTTATGTCCAAAATAAACTTCAAAATCAGCCTCTAAGCCTACAATGAGAAGGATGACTTTAATTTTTATGTTTTCTGCGTTTCTGTAGCTGAACAAAGAAAATAACTCGATATAAACGGGACAGACAAAAATTATTAAAGCAAAAGCAGTTTTATACAAAAAAAGTCTTGAAAGGAAAAAGTTACACACGATAACTAAATAAAAAATAGTTATTAATCCTTACAAAGTTATTTGTAGTATCTCGAAAAGTTGTCCACAATACATAATTACTGGACTTGTATATAAGTAGGAAAGACGTAGAGTTGAGACTTAAGTTTGTCAACAACATCATTACCTCACTTTTCTTATCAAGCCATTCAAGAATATAAGAAAATGTATGGCTAAGGATTAGAATTCGGTGATAGCAACCATATTCATGGAAAAGAAAAACATGTAAAGAATCTGCAAAATAAAACTGCAATGAATAAACTTCCAATTGACAGCATGGCGACTAATATTTGTTGTTGCCTCTGCACAAACTTTTTCCCGAACTGTTTTCCAATAACAACACAGACATGCTAAGAAAAAAAAGAATTTCCAAAAAGAGCTGATGATTGAAGAAATTATAGAAAGGAAGATTGTAAGTGAAAAAGTTGATCTTGCACGTCTAAAATGTAAGATAAATGATATGAATATAGAAATATAATAAATAAAATTCCATAATGTTCACAATACACATGCGAAAAACAAGTCAAAAAATAGAAGAATCTAATAATATTGTATATTAACTTGATTGCGAAACGTAAAAAGTAAAGCAGTTCCATCACAAGGTGCATCTTCCTCAAATACAACTTTGTGCATCTGAATGTCCCTGAGACGGTGCAAAGATATAGTTAAAAAAAGCCCCACGTTTTGGATAAAATTTAATAAAATAACAAAATAGATGCCAGAACATATGCAAAGATAAATCTTTAAGACGTGCATCTTCCTCGAGTATAACTTTGTGCATTTAAATATCCTTGAGACAAAAAAAAGCACCACATTTTGGACAAAATTTTAATAGAATAACGAAACAAATGCCAGCACATTATGCAAAGATAATCTTTAAAGACCAAGAGGAAAATGTTGTAATAGGATAAGAGGCTTAACTTTTAGTTACTTTTCTTTTGCATTGCGTTCCACTGCCACCACTGTTAGAAGGAATTTGATTGGTCTACTCTGTAGCAGAGACAAATGATGCGGACCTAAAACAAATATGAAAAATAATATATTGTAAAAGATTATCTTTCCTTGACTTGAAGAGAACACTTATATACCTTATTTTGTCGTTTATTCACTTGTTTTGTTGTCTTATCACATCCTAGATTATCTGTTAACATATATATGAAGTGCTGCTTCAAATGATACCTATTACCAAAGTAGAAAATGTCAAGACATGAAATGTTGGTTCAAGGTTATATACAGTTAGCAGCATCGACTGAAACCAACCATAAACCTCTCTTATGGCTTTTGGTTCTCTTTTGTCTCCGAGTCCTAAAAGGATGGAAAGTAAAGAAGAAGCTCCCTACATATTGGCTCAAAATCTATAAAACATCGCCCTGAAAAATACTTAATTGGCACATGTTGATAACATCTACCATGTCGTAGAAATTTTTTTATTAATTCATTTGAAAAGGAGGACAATATAAATTTATAATATGGGTTTGATCCATTAATCAAAAGGTGTTGGTACATTTATTTGGGAACAAATTTGTACACTTATATTTTTTAGTTTTGCTTCTAATGCTCAGAAAGAGAAAAATAAATAAAATGATTGTTCATGATCATGTTGGTGGTCCAATAAATACAAAAATTGGATAAAAAGTTAGATATATTACTTTCTTTACTCTTACTTGCCTTCAACAATATTGGTCATCTTGAAGAAAATGGTTATAATTAATAAATTGATGCTAATTATTCCTTTTTATCAATTGACCTTCTGGAAAATATTTATGCGAAATAAGGAAGCTCCTAAAACACCATAAGCTAAAAATTAATATTGGCAACAAGCAATCCAAAAGCATATTCACTCATTGTATGTACTTTGAAAAAAGTAAGTTTTAACTCTATCATTCTAAGCTCAACTTTTTCCTGTTCTTTATGTTGCTATAGTTCTAAATACTAAGACTTGATGTTTAATCCTACATTACCAAAAAAAAAAACTTAATGATCTAAGCAAAATCAATTAAGTTACTTTAGAGGTAAATATGCCAAATTACAACACCAAGAAGATATGATCTAACAATTAAATTTTACATTCACAACCTATTCAAAATAAAGCAGTAGATAATGACAATGAGAGAAATTTACTTGAGATAGCTTCCTAGACCACCTAACATATCTTGGTGAACCTCTTACAGCTACTAATTCATCTTCATCTTTGTACCTCAAAAATCAGCCATGTGCAATCCCGAAAAAAAATCTTCGCAGAATGCATGTTTACAACTGCTATGAGGTTTGACTGGTTTGTTTATATAGTGACATCTTATTGGTTTAATAATTTTTTGGATAAAACTGCTTGCCAATTTTCCTTCTAGTTGTTTGAATTTGCAACTTACTTTAAACGTCATAGAGCGACCTCAAAGACTCCACAAATTCACTATCACATTCAACTAATACAGAAAACACATGAACGCAAACATTTTCTTCATATGGATATACACTAAAATTATATATTTATTGAACATACACAATTGAATCTAGACCATTGTCTATTCGGTGAATTCATAACCATTTATGCATCAACCTCTTTCTCACCTATTTCCACGGTTGTTCAGTCATATCTTTCAGCCGAAAAACCTTATTTGCCATAGCACTATCAAGCCACTTCATAATTTAGCGATTCAACTCATTTTTTTTTCACATAAAGATCATCAATCACTTATTTGAAATGAAGGCATCTTATATTATTTGTTTTCTTCTGCTTGTACATTATTGGTCTCTTTTGAGTTCGTGGGATATGAAGTCGAGTCTGAATTTAAAGGATGTTGCCTACTTAAACATAGAGTGTCAGTCATGATTGGGATTGTATGAAATACTTCTTTTTGCCTCGCAATTAGATCAATCAGTTGCATCCTAAGAATTGTTCTTTTTCCAGCAGCAATCCAACTATTAAAATATAGAGAGGGTTTAATGTTTAAAGCTTTTATACACGAAAGCTCAAGCGCAATGTTTGAAATCTTATTTCATAGATCTTCATGGTAGTACTTGCCAATGTAATGCATTTAATTCCACGTATAAATACTTGTATTGTTTAACGGAAATCATAGATTCGAAGAAGTTTATAAAATAAGGTTGAAATTCTATTGATTTTAAAAAAACTTTTTTGTCTCTTACCTTGTTAACACGACTTTCACATGAGTCTCTTCTTGCATTCGTAATGTTAGTGTACCACATCGCCCCTATATTAATTTAAGAAGTTGAACCTGCCAATTCATGATTGCCATAAATAGATAAATCAATATACGACAAATATATTAAAAAGTCGAAAGCATACAACAAAAACTTACATCTCATTTTTTTCCAGTTAGTATCTAAAAGAGTTCAAATATATTCTTAGAGGTAAAGTTTGGTGAATGATTGAGCCAATTAAGATGCAAGAAAGGAGGACACTTAAAGTTTCAAGATCAATACTAATCGGAGTTGAAAAAATAATATATTTCTTGCACACCAAGTTGATTAGAGAAACAATATCATTTGCTTTATTTATATACATAAGTTTAAATTTATGTGCATATTGAAATAGAAAGACCGATTCCATTATTCATCAAATTTCGAGGTAAGGCAAATGAGACTATAAGTACCCGTTAATCATTACTTAAATGTATCCCTCTTGTCATACATGTACTAAACCTTGCATATAAACCATCTATGCCACAAGTCAAAAATGAAAATGCTAAAAACCAACAAAAATTTGCATAAGTTATGCAGCAAATTAAAGAGTCACAGTTAGTCAATGGAATTACCATAGTAGGAATGCTCCAAATCTATCTATAACCAGCAATATATGAGCATGTGTACTGAAAAAGTACCTGCTTAGCTGCTACTCAGGATATCTATGCTGAAGCAAATGCAATGCCTACCTAGTAGCAATTCAAAGGCCATTTTTTCTTTGTTCCAGTAGAATTCTCGAGGCCACTAACTTGCGTTTAGCAACTTTCTGATTCGGGTTAGGATCAAATCAACAAATATATGATCACTGAATGGTAAAAAATCCACCGAGTATTTTATACACTGCAGATAACATATAAAATCGGATGAAGAGCCTCATTCAATAAGAGAATATTGAGTACTTTGTAAAAAATTTCCGATCACTTAAAAAAATTTCCGATCACTTAAAAGCTATATCAATGAAATAACATTTATCAAAACATATGTAACAATAGATTTTGCTTTTTCTACAATTATTGCCAGCACACGCAAACGAATAGATTGTGAAGTGATGTTCGAGGAGGAACACTCTGATTCTCTGCTAAACACCTTCCTTCATTCGTATTCTATCATTTTTTCTGTTGTACTGCTCAATCATTAAAAAGCTTTGTATTATCATTCAACTCTTTTTTTTTGGGCAAAAAGCCAAAATCGTTTACCAAATTTCGTCCACCAAATTGATTTGGATATATTGATTTGGATATACTAAAATTCGCCAATAAATCAAAAAGAAGAAGTAAATCTGAAAAAAGAGAACAAAGGACATGTTTTCTATGTGACAAACTTCAGATTTCGTGCTTACAACTACGGATTGGATCGTCTTCTTTCCCAATCTGTCATCGGCATTGGTGGTTCTTCGATATGGTCATTATTTGTACTAATCTCCTACCATTCATATCAATGGAAATAGTAGAACAATCTATGGTTCTTCAATATGATCATCATTTGATGAATTTAGATGGGTTTTAAACTTCTCTCAAGAAGAAAAGAGAGAAACTGATCTCTCCAGCAGTTTTCGTTGTTATCCTTTTTGTGCGCTTATGTTTTCAACGTCGTGGGAGTTTCTTATCTTTTAATTTAATATAATTAAATAATATAGAATTCACCTATAGATTTTTAACAAAGAAGTAGGGGGAAAAAATGAAAAAAACACCCATTCATTATTTTTTGAACCGTAACAGGTGTTTTTTCCTAAATATGCAATTTATAAATATTAATCTTAAATCAATTTTCTTTTTTAGAGAGAAAAAGACGTGTCCTTTTTACATTTTTTTAAAAATAAATTTGAAACTCCAACAAAGTTGGAGAATTGTCCAAAAAATTGACATGTCTCAATTTAATATTATGCCACTTGTCATCATAACATTTCTTTGCCTCTACTATTATATATAAATAGATTTGTGGCCCATGCTTCTTTTATCTACTCTCTAGCCGAGGGTCTATCGAAAACTAGGGTAGGGGTAGAGTCTGCATACACATTACCCTCCTCAGACCCTACTTGTGGGAACTCACTGGGTTTGTTGTTTTTGTTGTTGTTATTATTGTTGTTATTACTCAAAAGGTTTACATATAACATCTTGAACCATATTACATCAAAGTTAGACAGGCATGCAAGAATCAAGATGTTAGTATGAATTTGCAGCTATCGCTCAAATATGATAGTAGTAGAAATGCCTCTTTGGAACGAGTTTTTAGATATTATCTGACTTTATTTAAGGGGACACTATCTATTCCTTCTTCGAAATGGTCATATCAAAGCGGTTTTCCTTAGTCCGAGGCATATTTGGCTTCTTAATGTTGAACATATTTTGTATCACTCACGGAGGCGAAATCATCCTGTGCCAGGTCTCTGCACCATAAGAAAACAACCATTGCAATCGTCCCTTTCATGCTTCCGGAGTAATTCTGACACTTATTTTTCAATTTTTTTGTTTTTGAGTGAAAAGATGGTAAGAAATTGGGGTTTTCAAGAATTGGTTCAAAACAATCTCCAAGAGCATGGTTAGGAAGTGCAACAGATCATTCTGCTTTTTATCTGCATGATGGTCCAGATGAATGTATCTACCTGTTAGCCTATGTTGATGACATCGTCATAACAGGTAATGACCGGGAAGGACAGCTAAAGCAACATCTATCCAACAACTTTCAAACCACAGATTTGGGGAAGTTAAAGTACTTTTTGGGGATCGAGGTAGCACAATCCAAGACAGGCATTGCAATCTTATAAAGGAAGTACACTTTGGATATATTAGAGGAGACATGTATGACAAATTGTAAATGTGTTGATACTCCTATAGATCTTAATCCCAAACTTGTTCCTAGACGCGCGGGGCGGGGGGAGGGGGGGGGGGCTCCTAGATGACCCCTGGCAAATACCGAAGACTGTTTGGGAAATTCAATTATCTCACGATTAAACGACCATATATTTCATTCGCAGCGAGTGTAGGTAGCCAGTTTCTTCCAGCCCCGTGTAAAGGTTGGGATGTAGTAATACCTATCAGATACATAAAAAGAGCTCCAAGACAAGGATTGATATATGAAGTTAAGGGTCACCTCGATATTTGGATATTCTGATGCAGATTGGGCAAGTTCTCCGTCAGACAGACATTCCACTTTTGAATAATGTGTCATGATTGGAAGGAACTTAATTTCTTGGAAGAGCAAAAAGCAAGACGTTGTCACTAGATCTAGTACTGACTCTTGTTACTTGTGAGCTTATCTGGTTGAAATAACTTCTTCAAGTATTAAGGTGTGTAGACGTCAACCAGATGAAGCTAATATGCGATAATCAAGATGCTCTTCACATTGCGTTAAATCTTCTTTTTCATGAGAGGACAAAATATATAAAAGTGGACTGTCATTTGAGTCAGGATGTGTAACCACCAGTATTGTTAGCTCGAATGATCAGTTGGCAGGTGTTCTTACTAAATCACTGAGACGTCCTCGAATTGAATACATTTGTAACAAGCTTGGAGTATGATATATACGCTCCAACTTGAAGGGGGGGGGGGGTGTTGAGATATTATGTGATTTGCATAAAACCATGATGATTTGATTAGGAGATATTATGTGATTGACATAGAATCATCAAGATTTGATTAGGAACCTTAGGGATTTGATTAGGATTTTATTCTGTATTATACACTTACCAAATATGTACACTTTGTAATAGCTATAAATCCCCAACCAAGCTTGAGGGAATAGTCAAGCTTTCTGCCTAATAACATGTTTGGTCAAGCTTCTCCAAGGCCAAATATTTTTTTATAAATATTTTTCAAAGTTGAAGTGTTTGGCAAAGCTTTTAGAAGGAAAAGAAGTGTTTTTGAGTAGAAGCAAAAGCAGCTTTGGAGAAGTAGAAAAAAATTGCTTCTCCCCAAAAGTACTTTTTTGATAAGCACTTTTGAGAAAGATACATTTAGAAGTATTTTTTAAAAGCTTGACCAAACACTACTTGCTGCTTAGAATTACTTTTTAAATTAATTGGCCAAACACAAACTGTTTATCACCAAAAGTACTTTTGAGAAAAACACTTGTATCAAAAGAAGCGGATTTTAGAAACTTGGCCAAACAGGCTATACGTCTCAATCTCTACATAAATATTAGCTAAATCATATGAGTGAAGAAGAGATGCACAGATACCCTACAGTGAGGAGGTATGAGCGGTTGACAATGATGAATCTAAAGAAAGACAGAGGTAGGCCAAAATTTTGGAGAGGTGATTAGGTAGGACATGGCACATCTTTAGTTTACTGAGGACTTGACCTTTGATAGGAGGGTGTGGAGAATTAAGGTAGTAGGTCAGTATTAGGTAGTCACACATTTTTCTTCTTCATACCAGTTGTATTAGTATTGCTCCCCTATTTTCTTACTCTTAGTTTTTATTACTGCCTGATATTTTTTGCTTCAGTTATCTTATTTTTCTTGTTGTTATTACCGCTTCCTTTTCCACCGCTTCTTCATTACCGTACTGCTAAGATTATGCTTTCTTCGAGCCAAGATTCTATCGGAAACTGTGGATAAAGTTTGCGTACACACTATCCTTTTCACACCCTACTTGTGGGATTTCACTGGTTTTGTTGTTGTTGTTGTATAAAAACACTTATAATAGAACTAACAATTGTATAAATCAAAACTAGAACAAAGACATCAATAAAGAAATATCACTAGTGAAATTCCATGGTCCGATGATAATCCAAAGTTGAAGTTCTTTCAGCTGAATCAGCCTTTAGATGAAGTTAAATCAGTTTAATGCGCTGGAAAATCTGATTGGTCGACATTTTCTTGCGGTTAGGTTAATTTGGGACTTCGAACTTGTTTTTGTACTTTACAAAAATATTTCTCCAAGTTTATTGAAACTTCAAAGTAAATTTAAGCATTGTAGTTACAAGATTAATCACACAACACAAAATTATAACCCAACCAACAAGAAAAATATGAATTTTCTTCTTTCTAATAATCATATTTTGTAGTTTCTATGGATATTGTATTCTTGGAAAAGTCAAAGCATGCATTTGAGAATGTAGATGAAAACGGAAGTTAATACAAATCAATTTTGTTGGAAGCAAAAAAAAAAAAAAAAAATCAAATAGAAAGAGAGAAGAGAATTGTTGGAGACGAGAGAGGGGAGTGTGGAGCGGGGCTTGGGGCTGATGGAGAGCAATGGAGACGACTAGAAGGTTTCTTGTCGTTTAAAATAGGGCAATGAAGCAAAAACGTCGGAAGTGAGAATCGAAACGACGACCGTGAAGCCAATTTGAACACTCTTTACTGCTGGGCTACTTTTCTGTAAGGATCCTGATAAGGATCCAAAGTTGATTGCAATTAGAATTCGAGCTCAACACTTTTTGGGACAATTTTCTGGTTTTATTAATGGAAAACTGAAAACAATTACAAGGAAAGTAACTGAATTAACTAGAAATAATGAGAGTCGCCATAGCCATTGAGAATCTGCAGAGATAGAAGAGAAGAGAATTAGAGGAGAAGAGAAGAGAGAGAGAACAGAGGAGAGAAGGAATTCAGGGGAAGAATGAAATTACCGGAAATCCGTTGCCTTCTCTCTCTCGACTTTGGGTATTTGTAACAAACTAACCACCTGCTGACGTGGCGAAATCTTGGCCCTTCTTTCTAATTAATGAACTTCTAATCCTGGCCCTTCGTTTCTAATTAACTGAACAACAATCACTAAGGCTGTAACCAGTTCGAATCCCATCTACTACATCTATGTTAATTAACATTGGGCCACCTGATGCATGACAATCCCGTCTCCTTCAAATAATCTTTGACCTCAAGGATTGGAATCGAACCCAGGAAACTTGGTCTTCAAATCTTGGTAATCCTCCCAAGTTGCATCTTCAGGAGGGAGGTTAGACCATTGCACGAGTACCTTAACACCTGCCACATTATTCTTCTTAACCGGCTGCCTTTGAAGGATAGCCACTGGTCGAACCAAAAACTGACCATCCTCACCAGTACTTGGAAGGGCTGTTTGCACCACCACCCTATTGCCAACCTTTTTCTTGAGTAAGGAGACGTGAAAGACTGGATGAATTTTAGATGTAGAGGGTAATTCTAGCTTGTAAGCTACAGCACCTATTCGAGCAAGGATCTTATAAGGACCATAGTACTTGGAACTCAGCTTGAGGTTCTTTCGTAAAGCAATGGATGTTTGTCTATACGGCTGCAGCTTCAAATAAACCAAGTCACCAACCTGGAACTCCCTATCAGTTCTTCTATTATCAGCAAAGAACTTCATCCTTTCCTGAGCTTTGCTCAAATTATCCTTCAGTAATTAATGCATCTGTTGTCTCCTCATCACAGCATCTTCAGCTGCTGGTACAATAGTTTCTAGCAGGGGTCCAATAGATAGTTGAGGAGGAATGTAGCCATACAAGGCTTCAAATGGGGTGCATTGCAAGCTTGTATGGAAATTAGTGTTGTACCACCATTCAGCAGCAGATAGCCAATGTTTCCACTGGTTAGGTCGACTAGCAGTCATACACCTGAAGTAATTTTCAAGACATCTATTCACTCTCTCAGTTTGGCCATCACTTTGTGGGTGATATGCTGTCACTCTAACTGGAGGACAAAAACTAGCTCGATAGCCAGTCTCCTTAACTGTGTGCTAATCTATGAAACTGTGTGTGCTTCCTGAATCAATCATTACTGTGACTTGCCTTTTCTTCACAGTTCCCCCCACTAGTATGGTATTTTCTCCTTGGTTATTTCCTGAAAGTGCATTCATACAGATAGCCTCCTGAATTTCCTGCTCTATTCCACCTTCAATGATCAGTTCAGAGGGTACTGGCACTTCTGCTATCTCAGGTTCCTCTAGTTGAGGCTCAGCTTCCACCTCACCCTTGAGGTAGTTCAACTGCTTTACCTTGCACTGGTGGCCTGGGTTATACTTCTCTCCACATCTGTAGCACAAGTGATTGTTCTTCCTGTGCTCATACACCTCAGGGCTCAATCTAAATGCAGTGGTCTTAGTTACTGGCAGGGTTTTAGTGTTAGCTGTGGTGTTCATCCTGGGAAGGCTTTTAGCATTAGCCTTCTCCTTCTTCTGTGCAGCCTCGATAGCCCTTTCCTGTAACCTAGCCTGTTCAATAGCAAACCTTAATGTCGTAGGCTTGAACAACTTGACCCCAAACTTGATTTCCTCCTTGAGAGCCCCTATAAAACTGGATAAGAAGTGAGATTCATCCAGCTGTGGATTACGAACCAGCATTTGAGCTTTGAGATCCTCAAATTTCCCTAGGAATTCATCCAGAGTCCCTTCCTGTGACAACTTATTAAACTCTTCGACCACATCTTCAGCTAATACTACCCCAAACCTACTGATCAGTTCCTCCTTAAATTCAGAGCTTTGAGATCCTCAAATTTCCCTAGGAATTCATCCACAGTCCCTTCCTGTGACAGCTTATTAAACTCTTCGACCACATCTTCAGCTAATACTACCCCAAACCTACTGATCAGTTCCTCCTTAAATTCAGCCCAAGTCAATACCCCTTGGCTTAGCAACAAGGAGTGATACCACATCTCAGCTAGGCCATTCAAATAGAGAGCAGCAGCTTCTACTTTTTGATCTTCCTGAGTTTTATACAACTTAAAATATCTTTCACATTTACGCAACCATACCTTGGGTTCATGACCTTCAAAGGTGGGTAGTTCCCATTTAGGAGGAGGTATGGCCATATTTTGAGGCCTGTTCTGCCTGTTGTCCATAACTGGGAGAGGTAACAATCCTCCTCCATTGTTTGGGCTAGCTGGAGCTCTTTCTAATGCTGTCAGCCTCTCGAGAATCAGCTCCAAGGTGCCTTGAATTCCAGTTTGAGTATTGCTAACCTCCTCCTGGCTGCTCAACACATCTGCCAATAGTTCGTCATGCTTAGCTAGTTTGTCGTCCATCAGCTTCAAACGAGTTCCTTCCGCCATTACTCAAGCACGAATCGCAGAATCGCGGCTCTGATACCAATTGTAAGGATCCTGATAAGGATCCAAAGTTGATTGCAATTAGAATTCGAGCTCAACACTTTTTGGGACAATTTTCTAGTTTTATTAATGGAAAACTGAAAACAACTACAAGGAAAGTAACTGAATTAACTAGAAATAATGAGAGTCGCCATAGCCATTGAGAATCTGCAGAGATAGAAGAGAAGAGAATTAGAGGAGAAGAGAAGAGAGAGAACAGAGGAGAGAAGGAATTCAGGGGAAGAATGAAATTACCGGAAATCCGTTGCCTTCTCTCTCTCGACTTTGGGTATTTNTTTTTGATCCGTAACAAACTAACCACCTGCTGACGTGGCGAGATCTTGGCCCTTCTTTCTAATTAATGAACTTCTAATCCTGGTCCTTCGTTTCTAATTAACTGAACAACAATCACTAAGGCTGTAACCAGTTCGAATCCCATCTGCTACATCTATGTATAATTAACATTGGGCCACCTGATGCATGCCATTTTCTTGGCTGTGTGAAAGGTGTTCAAGGTTTAATATATATCACTATAAACTAATATTTCACCTATATACACAGTATAATTTTCTTTCTGGTGAAGGGTGTCCGGTGATCAGCCTTAACACACTGTAGCTTCGCCACTGATTTTCATATTCTATATGTTGAGGAAACGCTTATCATTGTATGGCCAGACTGGTAATTTGGTCTCACTTTCTACTATTTGATCCAATCCGAATCAACCATTTAGAGCCCTCTTGGTACCATTTCCTTAGCCAATTTAGTTGTGTCATCCCAGAGATTGGTCTAATGCAAGTTCTTGTAAAAACCATCGGCAAAATCCAATGTATGTTTTAGATTCCTTATAAACCAGTGTCTCACTGGTTCAGTTATCTCATCATATAGAGTATTCCTACTAGTGATCCTATTGCCTTTTCTTTTTATCTTCGCACTGTTCAGCATCTTTATCCTTAGCAAGGTCACGTACTTGTAACCAGTCCGAACAGAACTAGTAATAGGAAAGAATTAGAGACATAATTAGTTTAGGCCTGGACTTGTGCAAGCTGCTTGTGATTTTACTTGTCATTGCGGCACATTAGTTAGTAGCGAGGGACTGAAATTACTAGACAGAATGTTCATATAGACCGATATGCTCTAGGAGATTCTCTCGGCAATGTATCTCATATCAATAAAAAGCTAGAGCTGGGGTCCGTATCATCCCCTTTTGCTGTTGTCAAGTGAGGGTTGCAATTTTTCATAGTTTTCCTTCTTTCCAGTGGATGAGACAGGAAATCTTCAAAAAAAAAAAAGGCATTAATGGGATTGTTGAGACAGATACCAAAACACAGCACTGGCTTTAAGAGAGGCTTAGTTAATATAATGGAACTTGCTCCAGAGGAAAAAAAAATGAAGCAATAGAAGAGCTGAAAGTTCCTTCCTTAACTAAAATGTGAGTTCTATTTAGACTCTAGCTAGACTCTTCAATAAGATCAAATGCCTGTACAACCAACAAATCGTAGCACCGATTTGACAAAGTTAACATATTCAGAGACCAAAAACCTGATTTTGGGAATCATGGCATCCCAAGTAATTTCCCATTAGCTTACCTCGTCTGCTTTTGTTTCCTTTGAAACTGCTAAATACACTCCTAGTTACTGAATTCGAGAGTACTGACTAACTATTGTTGCAGTTTACAGATTTTGTGGTTACTTGACTAATTTATTTCACGTCTTGTGTGTATGATTGACTAGTAAGCATTATAGTGCATGTTCATTGAAAACCATAAATTTTGTTCAGCATCTTCTGAAGCATCCTACCCCCCCCCCCCCCCCCCCCAAGCCAAAGAAAAAAAGGAAATTAAAAAAAAAACTGATCCCTAAAATTATCGCCCTTGTACGTAACCATCAATAAGCGTATGCTACAACTTTGTGTACTTACCCCATCAATAATCACATCTCACAATATTGTATGTTTCAGTCTAGTAGAGATCGTTCGACGATATCACAACCATGTGGAAGCAGAAAAAGAGATCTCTGCAGATGTTTCTGACACAGAGGTATTTGTGTAGTTGTCTTGATTAATTAGCTCTCTTTTTATTGGATGTCCCTAATGGGACAAATTATAATTCTCTCTGGATACTTGAAATACGTCAACAGTAATAACTCTATGTACAGCGTCAAGCAACTCGTTAGACACATAGTCGCCGCCACCCCACACCCCCCCCCCCCCCAACCCCCAAAAAAAAACACATATCCCCCCATCCCGAAGAAAAATTGCATTGTAGCATCTGAGTGCAACTTCCTGCATTCTGAGTAGGTCTATAGACACTAACATATATGTCCGGTTGGTGTGCCACCTGACTTGAAGGTCCAACCTATTATGTAGTGATTATGATAGTAACTTGGCATCATAGTCTAACAAGTATCTCGCTCTTCAGCTAAAGCGACTCATGCTAGACACTATAAGTATTTTATTGGACCAAAAAAAGGACCTCTGAAGTTATTCATTCATATATGGAATAACTTATTATCAATTAATTGTGTGTTATTCAATGTTTCTCTGGTAATCATATTACAGTCCAAGTACTGAAAGTTACCTATCCTTGTGAGGTGGAAATAGCACTCTAAATATGCAAGCTTCATGACAGTGGGAGAACTGTTACAAACAGTAGAAAGGTACTGACCTTCATGCTTCTCTTTCATTTCTTGAAAGGTACAGTACTGATTCTCTGTCCCAATTTGAAAGGCGACTCGAGGAGCCTGATGTTGATGGTCTCAGTGTGACTGACCTTGTCCATTTGGAAAACCAACTACAATCTGCTCTGATGCAAGCCAGATCTCGGAAGGTCATAGCGATTCCTATATATCTTTTTACTTCCATATTTAAAGTTGTGCATCATTCGGAACTCTGGTGTTGAACTGTGCAGAAAAGCTCCATCTACCCTTCTTATTGCCTCAAGCTTACTAGCTAGCGCCTGAAACCAGGGCAGTGTTGATATCACTACATCATCATGTTTTTTAGGCGTTACAACCCCTAGTTAGTGTAGTTCAGTGTTCTCATTCTTTCTCTCTCTTGTAATCTTATACCAGCTAGTGATTTGTTAGTTTGTCTTGATTTACTTTCTAGTCTAAACACCAAGGTCCTCAAATTTTCCATGATTTCACCAGCTACACTTTTACTTCCATTTACTTCACTGTCTTTTTACAAGTATTCCCATGTCTTTTTAAGTGTGTTTTAACATTTATTTCTCCTTGGAAGCAAATTTAACTTGTTTTGGTTTATGCAGACACATTTGATGGTTGAATATATCAAGAGTCTTCAAGAGAAGGTAAGTCTCGGCTGCTACTCTCACAAATTTGTTTGGTATATGACGGAAAACATTTCTTGGAAAATGTCTGTGAAAAATCACTTTTTCCTGAAAAATATTGTGGAAAACGATTCCAATGTTTGGTTGGAAAATGGAAGAATGGAAATATTTATCTCCAAAAACATTTACTAAATTTATATAATGATGTTAGCGAACATGACAATGTTTTGATGAAATTTTTATTTTAAAAATTGATTATCAAGTGTTGGATAGTAGTGCCATGAAGTTAAAGAGTTGTGATAGTTGTGAAGAAAAAGGACTTTGGCCTGAAAGTAAGCAAAGTCATTATCCCGCATTCAGTGAAAAATATTTTCTAATAACTAAACACCAGAAAATGACTTATTGTCCGAAAAATTCCTTCAGTCGTCCACCGCACTTCAGCACTTCATGTGAGCTCAAGAGCTTGGTCTGTCATTTGAACTTCATTTCCTGTGAAGTTACTCTATCATAGCCATTTATTCCTCTGTCTTTGGCTCCCTGAATATTGACTCATATTATGCTATACTTTCATGGATTAGTTTCATGTGACCACCTTGAACTTGCATGCCGTATTAATTCAAATTCTTAAGCATAGATGATTTCAGGCAATACTGATCCATGATCAGCTGGACTAAAATGTGCCAGCGGGTTTTATTACCAAACTCACAATCTAGGCTTCTCATCTTCCTGAAACAAGTGCCCCTTGGAGCCACAGCATTGTGGCGAAGGATAAAACAACTTAGTGATCTTGAATACCTGAGCCTAAGATCATATTTTATCTGCCACTGCATAAGATAAAGTTTAAATTATTTTTGAGTGACTGATAGAATAGTTTTTGTTCCTTTAAGTCGCTATACTTGTGAAGGGGAGCCTTGGCGTAACTGGTAAAATTGCTGCAATGTGACCAGGAGGTCACGGGTTCGAGCCGTGGAAATAGCCTCTTGTAGAAATGCAGGGTAAGGCTGCGTACAACAGACCCTTGTGGTCTGGCCCTTCCCTGACGCCGCGTATAGCGGGAGCTTAGGCTGCCCTTTCTTTTTAAAGTCGCTGTACTTTGTCCACAGCTCTACCTACTTCTGTTAAAGTTCTGGGGCTACTATATAAGTCGAATGAGTTCTCCTGGAATTTCTACTCTATGACCAGAATACATTATTATTTAATGGAGAATTAATATGATGTAAAGTTGCCATTATACTAAGCGTGACAGGAGGTATGAAGTAGACTCTTCTCTGCAGGAAAAACTGCTGAGGGAAGAAAACAAACTTCTGGAGGACAGGGTAAATTTTAGATGATAGATCTTCTCTTTTGCTAGCACAAATTAGGTGGAGTCTGTATAGATATATCTTCCATGGTTTTCTAAATGACAAAAAAAATGTGCATATGCACCTACAGATAGCTATGATGAAGAAAAACAGAGAAGTGAATGGGATGGCTTCGGATTTCACTAACCTAGCACCAGTCCGCATGATTTGTGGACAGCAGAGAGCGATGCTGAATTTCCTCTAGTTATTGCTGTATCTGTCAAGTATTCTTGTAGAAGCTCAACGGGCACAATTTGCCACGTCTATCCGGTGCTTCTAACTTGGCACCTCTACTTTGTAATTCACATTTGTATGAAGGATCATGCTGTACCTGAAACACCTCAAATTAAATTAATAGTAAAAGATATTGGTGTAATCTTTATAAAGAAATAGTATTTAATTTTTCGTCTGTAAGACCAACTATGATGAGCTCTTTTTTCCTTTTCAAATGTGTATGGATTCAGTAATGTCTTTTAATTTCGTTTGTTGATGATTTTTGTTTATTTATGTATCTGTGTATCCTCTCCTAAACATTTTTATTCTGAATGCTACAGTTCATTCTGGGGAGCTTCTGTCTTTGATATTTCATTCTAAGTAATACCGTATATTCTTTGGGAAAGTTGGTTCGACTTAATTATTAATCCCCTCGCATGAATTTCTTTTTTCTCTTTATGTGCTTTGAAGTTTTAGTTTAATGTAGGGACTGGATTATTCTATTAGTAATGTTTCCATATTTTTAAGGTATATGGTGGTGATTCATTTTCTCTTTTGTATGTTTGTCTTTTCAGTTCTTTTCTTAAACTGAAAACCAGCATAACCAAATAAGTTTTGTTAGTTAAGGAGTTCTTAACACAATTAACACATTCAAATGAATTTTTTTTTTATAAAATGTGTATCAATCAAGAAAAATAATAGTACCAGCAGTTGAAAATTCCACACATGATAGCTAATTTGAAAATAGATGTTTCCTGCGTTAATTACTCCTTGGGTGAAGGTGGGGTAGTCACTATTTTACAAAACCTAGAGGGAATCTTCAGAGGATAGCATCGTTAGTTTTTAACATAGTTATGTTAGTGAGACCAAATGTGTTGTACTTTAAGGGGTCGTTTGATTGGGAAATAATTTCAGGATTAATTATCCCGCGATTAGTTATTCCGGGATTGTTATCCTACCTTCTCATATGAATAAAAATAACTCTACAATCCCAGGATAACTAATCCGTTATACCGTAATTTTATCCCAACCAAACGTGGAATATATAAACTCATCTCAAAATTAATTTCGAGATTAATTATTCCTTATCCCTCGTATCAAACAAGCAAAATTAAGGAATAAAGATGTTCTAGATAATATTTGGAGGATAAAAATAAATCTACTCCCATAAATAAAAGGCAATTTAAACCAAAAATTCTAAAAGGAACTGTGGTTTATCGATGAAATAAACACTTTATACAAACTTTGAGGTAGACTACCCATACAAACTAAGGACGGACCACATGTCGGATGTCTTTTCTAAGGTTTTCTTCCCATGCTCCACCTTAAGCCGGAGTCCATCTAAAACGATCTCTCTATCTTCGTAAGGTAAGAATACGTCTGCATATATACTATTCTCTTTAAACTTTACTTGTAAATTATACTGAATATATTATTATCATTGTTTCTGTTGGTTTGTATGCCCCATAATACTTTTACGTCTGATGTGTCACCAATACCTACTTAAATAATCAAAAAGCTTGGCCTCGTGGACCGGCTAAATGCTCAAAGCAATGGCTGATCTATATTGTGAGTTATGGGCGCTAAAGCACCCATTACTCTTAGAGCCAAATTCAAATACGGATTTAAGATTTTTAGAACATGAGTGTACTACTAAAGAAATGAGGAAAAAAAGTATTTAGTGGAAATTGATCCCTATTTCTTTAAGTAAATAATTAAGTAATGAATCAAGTGCATCATTCAACCTTTATAGAACATGGGTGTCAATACATAATATTGGACCAATTCTAAAAAATATGAACATAAATACCGAGTTTGGTGGAGGGACCATGAGTTCACGTGCCCCATAAGGCCATAACCGAGGCTATAGATCCGCCCACCGCTACTTATATGAAAAAATTAGCAATTCATATAAAATTATTAACTAAGCACTCATTTTTAATAATAATTTTTAGAATAAAGATAATTAATTTATAACTTAAAATTTTTGAATTCGCCATTGGCTCAAGAAGTGGTACTCCTAAAGGCAGGGGTGGATTTAAGGGGGCGGAAGGGTGTTCATCCGAACCTCCTTCGCCGAAATATTGTATACATAAGGCAAATTCTGTTTTTTTACCTCTATATATTATGTTTTGAATTCCCTTAACACAGCCAAAATCATAACTTAGTGGTCAAGGTGGTTCAAAACCTTTGTAAGGTCATTGATTCTATTCCCGCCAGCTATACAACCTTTCTAACTTTTTCTTTTTTTAACCCCTTTGACGATAATCCTGCCTCCGTCGCTGCCTAAACGTGACAAAATCTGTACTATCGGACAAGAAGATTTAGTGTTATTAACAAGCAACCTCTTTGATGCGGCCGAAACAATTAAGACCGACTTGGAGGCCCTAGAAAAGATAAGATTCAAGATCATTCACGCCTCGTGTTTGATAAATTAATGAGAAAAACATTTTCTGAAATTTATATTCTTGAAAATGACTTATAATTTTAAAATAAAAAGAATTTCTGATGGTGTTGAAGGATGGAAATATCTTCCCGGAAAAACATTTGTTGATAATTGATAATAACAATAACAAAAAAAAAGTGTTTTTGATGAAATTTTGAGTATTATAAGTTGGTATGCCTTAACACTACGTTTTTTTCAGTTTTTTTTTTTATAATTTGTTCCCGAAAAGAATATACATTTTCATATTTAAAAATAATCTAATCTTAAAGTTTATATTTACCGTTATGATATAATTTTACCACTACAAAAAATATATTTAATATCAAAAAAAAAATTAAGTATTTATTTCTTTGTTAAACTCAGTGCCCAATGAAGTATTAATGCCTAAAGTTAAAAGTTAAAAATTGTTGCGACGGAAAATGAATTATATTCAAAATTGAAATAAGTCATTATTTGCATTTTGGTGAACTCTCTATTTCAGTATGCATGGTTTATTTATTTATTTTTTTGGTGGTAGTATCTAGGAATGTATTAACACCGAAAAATGACTTAATATCCAATAAATATTTCAGGAAATATGAAGTAACAATATGAAATAATCCTAATCCAACTTACAAATTCTGGGAAGGAATGCAGTTGCTCCGCTGAGATTGTGGATGTCCTCTTGAGGATAAATATAATCTGAAATATACTCTCTCTCTCTCTCTCTCTCTCTCTCTTCAGTGGGTTTTCTTTAGGGTAAACAACTAAACATGATAAATTTCATGCAAGTCGGTCGAGATACTATATATATATATATATATATATATATATATATATATATATATATATAGTATCACATACTGCTAGTAAGTAGAAGTAAGAATGTATAGTTGGCAAATACATACAACTTGTTTCTAATTTCAGTCACACGGTTAAACTTTACCAGCAATTAATACAAAGTAGAGTAGATTATTACCTCATTAAGAAATATGAAGCTAAGAACGAATCTTCTCATCTCTATTGTCTGCTCCCTCCGGTCCATAGTAAATGATCAATTTGCTTTTTTATTTTGGTTCAAAATAAGTGTTCATTTATATAACCAAGAAACAATTCAATTTATTTTTTCAAAATTACCCTCATATACGTGTCCCTAAAAAGCCTTTTGCTCCTCACATTAACTATGCTGCAACATTTAACTAAGGGTAGTTTAGTCATACTAATTACTTTTGTTTAAAATTTAGTATTTCCTTAATGGGTGTGCCCAAAGCAAATTGGTCACTTATTGTGGACCGGAGAGAGTATTGAAATAAATATACGTATTGTAATCATATGCCACCTTCTTCTCTTGCAGTGGCGGAGCCACATGCACCAAAGGGATGTCAAACGATACCCCTTCGCCGAAAAATTATACTGTATAGTTCGGTAATATTTTTTAATATATATATATATATAGTGACACCCCTTGAGTTCTTGGTGTGTGTTTCTTTATATTTTGACCCTCTTGATAAAAATCCTGGCTCCGCCACTATTCTCTTGCACTCTCTTGATTAAGTCATATTTACTATTTCCACTAAATTTTGCTTGTTATAGTGTTGAATCGGATTGATCAAAACTGCAAAATATACAAGTCTCAGGGAAATTTATGTGTTAACCTTATATATAATATATTTCAAAATTGTATATGGACATTGTAAAGATTTTCTCTACATGCAATATATCAGGATAGTTTAACCTAGATATCATGTTAATTAGGTATTTTCATATGAGCTTATCAATTTATCAAAGAGATTTACATGTAATATTATTAATTACGTTATATCTTCGATGATTTGGTTGAGTAATTTCACTTCTTTAGTGCACCCAAAAGTGTAGCCTAGCGGTTAATAATGTGAGTTGAGAATAATGCGATATATCACGTTCAAATTTCAGCGAAAACAAACACGCTTGGTGATGTTTTCTCATTTTATCAAGCTTTAATGAATTGAATTATCAGGTGCTTGTATTAGTTAGGTAATAAATACTCTATAAATTTAATCGAGGTATATACGTGTTGATCCGGACATTAGCTACATAAAAATAAAGTTACACTATAATTATTGAGGCGGCACCGCTGGAGTTGTAACCCAAATTCCAACGGTGGCTTTTTTCGTGTATTAATTATAATAAGCAGTGAAGAGTTGCTGTGCACGCAGAATAAGGTAATTAATGGGCAACTGATAAAGTACACAATTGGCAGACAGAAGAGATAGTGAGCCAAGTAAAATGCGCTATTTCCCGCTCTTTGTCAATTGCCATGCATACTTCCACATGTTGCCCATTTGAAAAACACGTGGTTCTCCTGCCAAAACCTCGCGCTATCACCCAATTGACACTTTATTCTAGGGGTTCGTCGATCAATACAATATAATATTTAGATGTTTTGATCCGATATTTCTGTATATTTGATTTCTTAAAATATTATACTAATATCATACTTAATTAAATTTATTATGATTTGAATTTTCTCTTTTCGATTTTAGGTTATATAATTTTAGTTTGTTTTGGATTGACTATTAACTGCTACATAATGTATAGAATCATACATTGTAATATTTTCATTAATTAAATTTAGCTTGGAGAATACAATAAAGACTACCAACCTCAATATGAATGTCAAAGAAACGTATTATGTAACTTAGTATGTTATAATCAATAATACAGTCAAACTTCTCTATAACAGTCTCGTTTGTTCCAAATATCTTTGGATGTTATAGCGAAGTGCTGTTATATGAAACATATATTATAACATAATATAAAATATGGTTCCGAAAAAGCTTAACTTTTATAATGATGTGTT